TTGATTTCCCCTGCATCTCTGGCAACGAAGTCGCCCTTGAGTTCGTCCCTGAAACCAAAGGTAACGAGGTCGTCCCCGTGCGCTGGCACCGTAGGACAACATCATTGAATACCACAAGCCAGAGATCTTTCTTGCCCCCCATGCCTGAGCCTGTGCCCAACACATCACTCAGCCGGCGGAATGACGTTTTGCCCTTGACGCCCTTGGCATTAACGACTGGTGGCGGGCTCGACCCTGGGCCTTTTGACGGACCTGAGCCATGGAGAGACCCAAAAATCTGCCGTTCCTCTAGCAACAGCCTTGACGGCTTCGGGATAGCAAGCTGCTTCACCTTGTCAAGCCCCTCGATGCGGGCAAACACATCGCGCGTCTTGTCACGGTCCTCTTTCTGGATCTTCTCGTCCTCGATGCTGCGCACGATCGTCTCGACTTCCGCGACCATCTGTAGAGTACTCTCATACTCGAACGTGCTCGGATCCGTGTGAAAAAGTAGGTTTTGGAAGAGTAGAGGGTATTTGAGGAGGCGTTGGAAGGGCTTCGAGAGGGTAATAGCAAGCCCGGTTTCACCCTTATCAGCTGCCACCTCTTCTAGCCGCTGCAGGGACTTGCAAACCTTGAGCCATTCAGCGGCATCTTGGTTCTTGGGCTTCTTGGCAGCGCTGGCGGTGCTCAAAGCATTATCCACTTGCTCAAGCGCACGCTCAAGGTGCAGGACATATGTCGCGTAGCCTTGGAAGATATGTGACTGAAGCAACATAAGCATGTTGCGTCAAAGAAGAGTTTTGATACTCACACTCGAGACAAATACATCCGCGAGGGATCGAACAAGAGGATATTGCTCCTCGTACCGCTTCAACAGGCCTTCACTGAGCTTAACGTGCCCGTCGAGCACACCACTTTCGATCACTTCAAGACATATACGTAGATCCTCAGGCAGTAGGTGCGGAGGGACTGCACTCTGGAGGGGACTACTGGCCTGCGAAGTCGAGTGCTTGAACTTGCGCAGTACCCGAGAGCCTTGTGGAGGAGTAGTCTTAGTACTGTCTTTGCGCTCCCTCTCCCTATCCTTATCCCCCAGCGACTGCGAGGACGCGGTAGCGAGCTTCCGTTGGGGTGCAGGAAGAGACGCGTGAGAGCGTGAAGGGAAAGGGACAATATCGCGTATTTTGGCTACTCTACCACCACTGCCTCCTCCATGATAAGGAGAGCGAGGATGGCTTGGATTAGCGCGATTGGTCTGCAGCCCCTCGCCTAGTGTATCCTCAGCATCCTCATCACTTTCGTCATCAATTTGAGGGGTCGTGGTAGCGAGGCTGCGACCATCTGCAGGCTTTGGAGCTACATCTGCAGGCTTGGAGGCTCCATCAACACGGAAGCCAAGAGGGCTCATGAAGCGTGCAGCAATGGGTAAGACATCGATCGATTCCTGCGGTGACTCGACCCTGCCGTAGTCATCGTACTCGTTGAATGGAGTCGGTGTAGGGCTGACAGGAGGAGGCGTGGCATAAGGGTGGAGAAGGGGCTCGATGAAGGATTCTTTCATTTTTGTGAGGTCATTTACGTATCTGTAACAAATGCAGCGATCACATCAGGATCAAGTGGATCAGTTTGTGGGGAGGCGCAGCGCACCGCTCTTCAGAAGCTACAATTTCCCAGAGGACTTCTTGACGAGTGCGTTCACGGGGGCCAAGATTGCTAACGAGGTCTTCTTCTGCAGCCTCGCTCCATGAGGTGACTGCGAGAATGCGACTGCTGGCATTGGACATTTGAGAATAGGGTGTGGTAGAGCGCATCGAGCCTGGGTAAGGGGAGACTGCTGTGCGTGTACTCGTGGCTTTTGCAGTATTGGTTGATGAAGTAGGTACTACGGCGGTAGACGTGGATGGAGCAGAGATGGTGGTGGTGGTGGTGGTGGTAGTAGTAGTAGACTTTGCAGCGAGGTCAGTGCGTGATGTCGAGGCGGCTGTGGAGATTGAGCCACGCGTATCTTTGCCATGTGTTGCCTGAAAACGCGACACGGTGGTTTTGAGCGGGGCGCCCGAGGGCGTCTGAACGATTTGAGAGGGGCTGAGCACCGATGTGTCCGGAAGTTGGGTATTAAGAGGCGAGGGGGTCGGAGGAGGTGAGAGGAAGGCGACCTTTTTCTGTACGTCGTTTGATGTGGTACTACCATTTGCCTTGCGACGATTTGCAGGGTCCGGGTCTTGTGTAGGCGGGGAAATGGTAAGGCCGACGCCACTGTCGTCGTCAAGGGGCTCCTCGATTGGAGGTAAAGGGCGAGCACAGATATCAGGAAGTGGTTTATGCGATGAAATTGAAGTAGGAGTTCCTGCGCAGGTATTGACTGTACCTGCGCTATTGGAGCGTTGAATCAAGCTGGGAGAAGTGATATGTCTACTACTGGCGTCAGTTGCTGGTCTTCCGACAGGCTCAATCGAGAGCCTCTCATGGGTAGGAGGCCAGCCTGGGAGTGGTGGAAGCTGGACTAGCTCGCGCTTTTCTCGGCTGGGGGGTGAGTGGGAGTTGGTGGAGGAGTTGTCGCTACGGTCCTTGGTCAAAACGGAGACATTGTCACGATCTTTTTCTCTCTCTCTTTCCTTGTCCTTGTCTCTGTCTCTGTCCCTGTCCTTTGATGACAGGCCTCTGTTGAACCTGTTCAGAAATGCTTTCATGGCCGTGGGGCCAGAATGAAAGAATGATAGTGACAAGAAGAGCAGAACAAGTTGTGGAGCAGTGAAAGTGAAAGGTGATTACAAGCAGTTGACCAGACAGCAGAACCGACGTCGTTAATGCTGTACTAAGATGTCGTCGGTAGGATCACGACCGTAGTCCCTCATGTCAGACTCATGGTACTAATAGCCTTTCATGGCTAACCCTTTACATACATGCGAAACTCCGAGTCAAACTCACGCGGATGCACTTTGCCTCGTGTTCATCGTCAGGACTTTCGGTGCTCACTCCTGAATCCAAGCCGCTTCTACAAATTTATGGTCTCCTTGCCATGACGTGGTAGAACTTGCTGAAACCAACATCACCAAGGTATATACATCTCCTTTCACTCGCCCTCGGAACACCGTCACGGTAGCTTCTAGTAGTAGTCGGCACTTTTGCTGATGGCCTACCACCGTGGATGTCAGCAGGAATACTGAATTCATCATACTTTCAAATTTCTAGATGTGGTCGTGAGCGACCTATGGCGAAACTCACTATTGGAATCAACTCGGAAAAGGTCGTGACGCCACCTCCGAATTAGCAACTCACTTGATTCAAGTTGATTGTGCTTGCACCCAACTTGCACTTCCCAAATTCAGTGCGGAAGTTCGATTTCTACTCGAATGTCAAAGTTCTCCACAGACGACGTGAGGTGAATATCCTGCGAGAGTTTGAGGCATTCTTTCAAACATGTCCGATGAACAAAATACATCCTCGATAACTCATGGAGTAGATACTATGCTCGTAGTACAATACTTGTACGTGCTCAACCAAGTAAATTTATTTGCGCTCACATGTTCCACAGCTTTAGGCGGTTGAAATCGAGATACGCTATTTTTTCATTTCAAACAAGTGGTTTCCCGGATATCTTCAATCGTCTTAACTTGACGCTGAACCTCGATGTTGGTATTGAACATCATTGCATGCACAACCGGAATCATTGGCGTGAGTGCTACACATATAATATTCGATAAGATGCCAGCCACAGAACCAGGAGCGATACCCAATCCACGTTTGTTCTAATCCGAAACTATCATGATGCGCGTGGTGGCCCTACCGAATACCTCGGGACTGCAGTTCCTGTCATACCGAAAATTTCTTTTCTTGCTAGCTGGTGAGTTCACAAGGCAAACGTTGCCTGACATATACCGTAAACTCAGTGGAGGCGAGTAGTTCCGTCTGACGCGCCCGTCCGCATGCAGTCTTCGATGCGCATCATGTTATGGGTCCCGAGAGTCTGCGAACGACTAACTGGGACTCGTCGCTACGACGAGACAAAAATGCTTTTCTGGGGCAATCCTTGAAATGAATGCGCTTGTCATTGCATTCCATGAGGCGGTCGACACCTTTACAAGAAGTGGACCTCTCAGGAGGGAAGGCTTGGTAAACCTCTAATCGCGCAGATTGGAGTCGATGCAAAGAGCACGGGCGCTTCAGGCCTCAGGCCTGAGGACAGGGTTCAGGTCTTGATCTCGGGCATGGCACGCGTTCTGCATACTAATCAACTGCATCTGATATTCACAAAGAACCGTCCATTCACGCCCTCCCACTTACTGAAACAATGTCAACTCTGAGCTCTCCTGACTACGATGGGACGGAAATCTCGTTTCCACCAGTATGTGTGATTCGTTTTATGCTTCCTCATTTCATGCATACAGGCTCGCAGACATTGCAGTTTAATGTGGAGAAGCCATCATGATATTTACGACTTCCCAACATCTCCTATAAATCCATGGCCGCCTAATTAATCATGGCTGCGTTGGCGGCTGTGTTTTAGCTGGACATCAGGAATGTCGATAACGACCGCCCCAAGATTGTTACTTGGAGCTTGGGCACGGCACGTTGGTCATGTTCCGAGCAAACCTGCATGCGTTCAGTTGGAAGGTCCGACGGGCAAGTCTGATTCATTTACAAGGATATTCCTTTGACTAGATCTTCAGGTCTATCAGCGCTCACACGATCCGCGTTTTGTATCGATCACAGCTAAGCTGCAAGTCAAGCCCTTTAGTTCGCAACCAGATGTATTCGAATGTAATGTCCCACAGTTCAAACCACGGGCGTCAGATGTGATGCGTAGGTGTCCAGCTAGAAGGGAAAATTGAACAAAGGGAGCTGGACCGGAGACTGGAGAGACGTCAGATAGCGTGGATTGGCCGATGGATACTTTAGGAAGGAATGCGTAACTGAACTGGCCCCAAAAACCGTTGACGGTCTCAAGGCCAGTGCTCCAGCAGAAGCCTGTGGAGTGATTCCACATTTGATTGAGCATATATTCAAACTACAAACAAGTCACTTTGCCGGAGTGGTTAACGGGATCGCCTGCTACATACAGCTAAGCGGTTGGGCTTTGCCCGCGAGTGTTCGAATCGCTCAGGTGACGCTTTTTTCTCTCGCTTATTGGGACAATCATTTCTTGAAGATTTTTGCGTTTAATATAAATTTTCACCGGTTTTCAGTGTATCGGTCAGCGACAGAGATTTCCATCGATCATGAATATTCCTGGCAGCATGCACTTCATGAATCATTGACTTCGAATATCCTTTTTCTGATTTATCTCTGTTGGTTATGAACTTCTAAAAATATATAAAATACATGTGCCCCATGGCTGAGTTGGTTACAGCGTCCGACTGTTACGAATCGTTTCATCGGAAGGTCGTGAGTTCGAGCCTCACTGGGGCAGTTACTTTTTGCATTTTAACCCAGTACCCAGGCTCGTGACCTACCCAGCACCATGCCATAATTAACTTAGACTTAATTTTGAATCTTTTGCATCCTCTTCCATTCATGCAGAGTTCTGTCTTCAAGTATGTCAGATTGCTTTTATTCGACCAGCAATGGTTCTGGATTACTGCATCTCTCGTTGTTTTCGGAGATGCCATCCTCACTCAACTCATAATGCGGTTTGTTCCCTGTTAGCGCGTTTCACTAGCTCGCATGACACCATGACCGACATACCAAGCAGATACCGAAATCGACTGGGAAACGTACATGGTCCACATTGACCTTTACCTGAAGGGAGAGCGCAACTATGTCAATATCACAGGCCCTACAGGTCCTTTAGTGTAAGTCAATTCGACGTGAACCGAAGTACACCGCGCTTACCTTGACGAAACTAGCTATCCAGCTGGACATGTTCATATTCATCACCTTCTTCATTTAATCACAGACGCTGGTCGCAATATTGCGCGAGCCCAACAGATTTACGGCGGCCTATATGTACTATCCATTGCCCTTGTATGCGCAATATATAAGAATGCAAAGGTTCCAAATTGGACGCTTCTGCTACTACCGCTTAGCAAAAGGCTTCATTCTATCTTCGTTCTCCGCCTGTTCAATGACTGCTGGTCATTAATCTTCTTGCAAGCAGCAATCGTTGCATTCCAGAGCGCTTGGGATGACTTGGGCATCTTGTTGTTCAGGTGAGCACTACACTTTCTTCACCAATGTTGAACGTCCATAACCTTCTACAAGCCTCGCTCTATCTGTGAAAATGTCAGCAATACTTTATTTGCCAGGTCTGCTAGTCATTCTCTTCAAACGACACGGCCTCTTCGCAACCATCCGACACATGCTCGTCTTGGCGTGCACTCAAACTCTACTTGCACGCTCTTTCCTCATTTCAAATGCAAAGTCCTACCTGCAGAATGCATTCGATTTGTCACGCGTTTTCCTATACAAGTGGACCGTGAACTGGCGCTTTGTTGACGAACGCACATTTTTGAGTCCCGCATGGGCGAAAGGCTTACTTCTGGGTCATGTTACGGTGTTGATTGCCTTTGGGTTATTCCGATGGAGTCGCGGCGACGGTGGCGTAGCTAGGGTTCTGCAGAGAGGCCTCCGGCGACCCGGTCGGCCTGCTGGTTTGGCGCCTGTAGATCCCGATTGTGAGTCATTCTGCATGTTCGTCAATTTCTATTTACTGACTTGTACACCAGATGTTGCTACTGTGCTAATGACGTCCAATCTCATCGGGATCATCTTTGCGCGATCACTGCACTATCAATTCTACTCGTGGTATTCGCAGCAATTGCCTCTTCTTACTCAAAGAACGAGGTTTCCTTTTATCACGCAGTGAGTCTCTTCGCGCAGGAACGTGTATTTCTGCGTTCTAATATGCGCAAAGAATGGCACTCATATGCGCAATCGAATATGCCTGGAATGTTTATCCATCCACTGCACTTTCATCCGGCCTTCTTCTTACAGCGAATCTTGTTGTACTACTTGGGATTTGGTTCGGATACCCAGAAGGGAAGATGTTTTTAAAACGTTCAAACCGCAGTCAAGTCTCCCCTAAAAAAATTATCTCAAGAGTAATAGTTGTTACATTTATTCGTATTCGCCGCCCATACCTACAATATATGTATTTCTGCCACCTCTAGGCAGAATCAAAACCTTTTCAGCTCCATGGACCTGACAAGTATCAGCGCTTGGCACTGTAGGTTCCATCGAAGCTTGTGTAGGTATTGGTAGTGGCCTAACGTCGACCTTGGGTAAGGAAATTTCGCCGTGATGCAGTGCTATCAATGTCAGCGGAACAGTGAATGAACCACCGTCCTAGATATCGTTTAAATTGACAGAGAGAATGAACTCATAATAGTGGAACTTACAGTTGCAACGAAATCTCCACGCTTTCGTCCACACAAAAGCCAATCCTTGACACGCTCTTCAACATCGTATCGCATCGTGTAGCAGCGCTGTTTGCCCTCTTTCTCAGCCCAATGAAAAGAGGTTTTGAAGATGAGGGTTGCGTTGATTGGCTGGCCTGCGTAGATAGACGGTAGTCGATCTGATTCGAGTGCCACTGGGAAGTGAAGAGGGTTGAATAGTGATCTGTGCTGCAGTCACAATCTGTTACAGACAGGCCAGATTAAATCGGGTGTGCGTTAGTGACAACTTGGAAACACCAACATTCATCCTTGGCACGTCAACTGGTATCTTGATCTCTCTCCAAGGACAGGGTGATGCAGTCTCTGACCGACATTGCGCCAATGCCTAAAGGTTACGCGCGATGAACAAACGTAACACAACCATTAATCGATAAACGAACCTCCTGAATAGGTTCCTGGAAATCCCCACCGGCTTCAAACGAACGAGGTAATATGATTTCACCAGTAGCCCTATATGCTTCTACCCATTCGGCGTCGCTCTCCAGTTGTACGACCAATTTATCGATGAGCATGCGTCGTAGAGAGTTGTATTGGGGTTTCTCGACTGGCATACTTGACAAAACAGCTTCCACTGTTTGTCGGACTAATGCCTCCACCTCTAGAAAGCATATAGGTTGCAGTCGAGGCAATACTGGATAGAGAGAACCCTCACCGTCACGTAGTATGCGGTATTTGATGACAAGGTTCAGTGGTTCAAGAACTATATTTCTCTTAGCACTCGACAAGCAACCTGGCTAGCAACGCACCAGGTCCATTCGAAGACTCTATGGAGAACAAGAAGTTCACGGGATGGTCTGGAGTAACGATCTATGTAGAGTTTATTATCCTCAGCAAACAGCGAGGACATAGAGTCCTACCATAACAGGACGGCTCGGACGACAGCCTGAGATATTCACTCCATCGAGACATCGTGCACTTTGCAGCTCTGTCGATGATATTCGAACATACTGGTGGGAAGTTGCCGAGATAGTAAACTTGGAAAACAGTCTGAAAGACCTCAGAACAAAGTACGAGGTGATATGATGATCGAACCTTTTGCCGCGGAAAAAGTCTTCTACGTTAACTGCTATGGGTAGCGAGACCGTGACAACTCTTGAGGTTTGCAAGGTGCGGATCACACCTATCGAGGATTGCGTGTTATATGTCACATTGAGCCAGATTTTCTGCAGCATAGCGGTGATTAAGAGTCATCTTTGATGGAAAACGACGCCTACCATTGTATGATATCTCGAGGCATCGGAGTGTGGTAGCGAAATTACAACATCGGCGTCGACGGGAGCATCCAGAAGAACGATAGCATTGTCAGAGGCCTCGAGGGTCCCCATACCTTGTCCTGGTTCAAAAAGAATATCAAAATGTATTGAAAACACTGACCTTCAGCCTCTATGCGTGCCGCGGAATAGTCGAATTGCACTCCAGAAGGCGGAGTTGGCTTGATAGTTGCCCTTGAGATGTCATTCTGGCCAGTGGAAATCACAAGTAAGAGGTGTGACGTCGCCCCAAGCTCAGCTTGAAACCACAAGTTAGAATTGATAGGGTCAAGAAGACTATACCACTGACTTTGCTGAGGTTGACGTATCTGTATATCCAAAGCGCGCAAACTGCGAGGCACGCGCACCAATGAAATCTGGTTCCTCTTAGGAGTAGTGGCCACAGTACCCGCATGCTGCCATTGAAAGTGGACACGCGACATTACTACTTCGCTGCTCTCAAGAGTATATAGGCCCCATGAAGATGACTATGATGTGCTGTTCAGTTCACAGGAGATCGTTGAAAAGGTCAGACGCACTGGGCAGTATAGGGTTACAGTCGATCGGCCAGGAGGAAGTTTATCCACCTTTGCGACGAATTTCAGACGTTCAGAATCTCGGCCACGCAATGTTATGTTAATTTCATCAACAAAGACATCCTTGAACAGAACATCAGCTCTGGAAACGATATTTAAACACACGAATACGCACACATGGTAGGTGGTTTGAAACGGTGACATCGACCAAAACTAAGTCTTCAGTCATCACTACAGGCAGCATCGCCAGATACTTGAACTGCCATGATAGGATGGTCTGTGTGAACCAGATCTACAAATTGGCGATTATCGATAATTCCGGATTGCTAGTGAGTTTAGGAAGTACACACCTGAGTCCAAACTCGCCGCAGCAGTGCGAAGTGCTCTCATAAGTTGCGTAACAGACTTCTCCTTATCCACTCCCGACGCCAGCTCTTTGCTCATGTCATTTGTGCATGTCCTGAGATATGCAAGTAAGATATGTATCCACTCTCGGTCTTGGGGATTTTCCAACTCCGCATGTATGTCGAGCGCACGAGAGAGCACGAAGGACTCTAGCGATATCCACATATGAGGTGCATAATGAGCGGGCAATGATGTAAAAATCGCCAAAGCACTCGCTAGGCGTCCTCGATGGCTGTCCCGCAATAAGAAGGCGGATTATGAGTCGAACACTATGCTTACATGTCCAGAGCGGCAAGGAAGCCATGCAACTTTAGCGCAAATTTGCGGCGGCCAGCCTTCACATACATGTCAATGGCACGATTTGAAGTTGCACAATACAAGTCATAAAAAGCCTCTTGCCCCCGATCGCTAGCATGACCTCGTGATTGCTTATTCGTTGCGTCGATGAACGTTCACTGATTTGTTCTGAATGCAAGACAGTTTCTTCCATAGATGTTGTTGCAAAGGGCAATTTTTTGGGCA